CCCCCCCCCCCACACATTATCTATCTTGTGCTTTCTCTCACCGTCTTGCCGACAACTCCCGCAGCATCTTCAAACCACTTATAGACGTCGGCACGGACGAGAACTGCGGCAATCACGACACCGTCAGAAAGCCAGCGAGCCGGGACAGAAGGAAACCGCGGTACGGAGAGAAAGAATGCTGAGAAAGAGGCGACTTCATTTCAGACATCGCCAAAATATGTTGGCAACCCCGCGGAACAAGCTAGGATGTGCACCTGAACAAGATCTAACATATCTACGGTTGTTGGTTCGCGTGGTCAGAAAAGCAGAAGATGAATGAGATGTCTACCAAAACACGTCCTGAGTAAGAATCCCGAACACCGCGGCTACCCGAGGCACCCAAGTCTTCTGGGAGGCAGACAGTTTCTTCCCACGCCACGAAACTCTCGCGTAGACACCGCACGCGATTGGCGTTCGGCTACACCCTACCAGGGACGTCCTTGCACGTTCGGGAGTTAGGTGTGAAGCTTCCGCAAGGGGCGCTTCGGCAAGGACACGGATATCTCCTGAGTTTTTTTTTTTTACTTGGTGTTCATGTTCACCTTCTGGTTGTTGTTGATGTACAGCTCCGCTAACCCACTGCATGCACCGATCTCCGCCGGGATCGCCTGCGTGTACAAGTATGTGCGACGAGGTTCTTAGCGGCTACACGAGGTTTTGCGTCCTTGTCAACTCTTGCGGCCATCGTGCGCTGCACATCAGCAGTGCTCGAGACATTACTTTCGCGGTCGGCAAAGTACCTCATCAATCGGTAGGTAAGTGGATTGCCTTACGAGTCGAAACCTGTTGCGGTAGCCCCAGAGTCTACGCAAGGGGAACGTGCGCCAAAACATCAGACTACCCAACTATGATCCGATTCTAAATGGGGCTGCGTGATCCCCGGAACATGGATATATAGTCTATTTAAAGTGACCAACGTTGTGCGACAGGTCTCCATTTGACCCCACATGTGTTTCTCAGGCCCCCAAGCAATGCCGCGCCTCAGACAATACTTTGACGGCTTCTCTTCAGTAGCATTCACTCGCCTTAATATTGTTGCCGCTCAGGGATAGTTTCACCAACCTCGCCATGCATCCCACCTTTTTCGCATGTGAAGCACGCAGCGGCAAGCAGTGTAAGAACGCTAAAGGTTCGGTGGTCAAGGTTGCGAAGAACGCATGTCATGAAAACGCCCACTTCGTTCGGTATCATGCCCACCACTCAACACCAAGACAAGCTATCGCACAAAAACATCGACGACAACACCAAGGCTTAGAAGAACTCAGAATCGAAGTTTGCACACAACAATGCAACAAAGACAAGCCTACCTCCGGTGGTAAGGAGGTGATCTTGTTCCGATAGAGGTAGAGCTCTTGCAGGTTCACGAAGGCCTCGCACATCTCCGGCCCAAACTCGGAGATTTTGTTTCCTCCGACGTGAAGCAGCGCCAGGGACGTGCAGCGAGCCAGCTCGGGGGGAAGCTCGGACAGCGCATTTCCTCTCAGGTCTAGGACCTCCAGCTCGGAACACTCGCCCACCTGTAAATATTTTTTTTTTTTTGCATTTTCCACGTTTTCAGGTTGCGGTTTGTTGTTTTGCTGCAGGTCGCCAAAATGCGCATTCGGTCGGGCCACATCAAACTTCTGGTGGTAGGGGGGGGCGTCCCGACATCAAGCATGTGGATGGTTGTCTTTCAGATCTCGGTGTGGTTTTGATCATTCTTGTTTGAACCCACGCCTGCTGGGATCTCCACAATCTCCCGTTCCCGTGAGAACGAACGAACGTGCTCGATATGTTCAACATGGCCTGTGGTGCCATGGCCAGCGGGAACGCTACTACGGTAGCTGCTTCTGTGCTTCCATGTCGTACTTGAGTCATAGGACCATCAAAGACAACGGTTATTACCGCCCACGAACCGATACCGAAACCTTTCGGATGATAGAAGCAGCATTTTATTAACGTGGCATTCGGTCTTCACGCCAAGAGTGGGCGGTCAACGATTTCCCGCGAAAAGTAGGTGATGCATACCCTCCCAGTTATTTCGTGGAGAAAACCACGTTTCAAAGCTGGAGCAGCTCACGCGGAGAGCAGCCGCGTGACAGAACCTCGGATTTCGTGGGCGGGGAGACGAGTGATCAGAAAATGCTGGGTAAGGATTGGGCCAACAGCGCGCGGCCTTTCCTCACGCACCCACTCCGTTTTATCGACTGTGGAGTGGCATGACTGGTTTCATATATATTTTTCATTTTTTCAGATGCGTGTCCTTGTTGACCTTTTCGATGATCAGCATGGGGACCGTGATGATGTAAAGTCTATTTCTCGTTTTCTGGGTTAAATTCGGATGTACTTTCTGGGCAAGGTCACAATAACAATGATACCATTGATAACGAAAGCACGAACGACAACGACAACAGTGTACCTCTGCTGGGACCTCAAGAATGCCGTTTCCACCGGCAAGCAACCGCCTTAGCTTGACCCACCTCCCCATCTCAAGGGACAGCATTCGCAGGTCGTTGTTGCGCACGTTAAGGTCCTCCAAGTTTCTCCAGTCTCCGACCTGACGTGATATGTTCGGCATATTTTTCGAGGATCGGCTATCTCACGTAGCCGAGAGCTTGATCTCATATCTGTGTTGTTGTTGTTGTTTCACTATTCTCCGTATGTCTCATTTTTTGGATTACACAGGAGACTACGAACGCGCACTTACCGGTGGAGGAATGGGCGTTGGGCTGCTATGGGCCTACACTCGAAAACGACCGCGGCGGAATCAAGTCTACTACGTCTACCATTTGTCGGTCGAAACAACTATGCATGTCCGTATGAGCCATCGGCAACTAGACGTGGTGGACAATCCTCGGCGGTCGGTCAAGGGTAACGCCCACTCGCCTGTGGCGGAAGAACCGTCAAAGCGTTGTGCGATATACTGAAAACGCGCAGCTCGGTCCACATGTCAACCGCAGCCGGAAGCTCCGTGATCTGGGTCAAGAGAGGAGACATATTTCAGTGAACGGAACGCACGTTCGTTTCGAGGAAAAATATCACCCCCTCTGGGAAAATGACCGTGGCCTGCCACGGTTTTGTCTCGTACACAAGAACTGGAACCAGGAGTCTCATATTTTCCGTGCAGTGGCACGCCTGCTGTCAAAACGTCTTCTACGAGGGATTGACCGACCCGTTGTCTGGGAGTATGACCTAACCCAAACCCTAACCCTAACCTTAATAGGCCTGCAGTTCCTGGTCTTGCAACTCGAGCTAGTGGTCAGATCCCCAGGGTATTGACGGCAAAGGGGGGGGCGGGGGAATAGAACAAAGCGTACACACACGTCAGAATGTGTATGCGTTGCTGTGTGAAGTATCTTCCCGGACCTGATTGATGTCGAGCCGTAGCTCCTCTAGCTCGCGAAGCCTTCCCGCCGCCGCCGATAAGACGCCGTTGAAGAAATTGTCTGTCAAGTCCAGCTTCCTGAAATAGCAAAGAAGTGGTGCCCGCGAGCAAGGAGCGTGCACTTTGAACCGAAGCTCAGTTTCTTGCTTCGTAGCAGTGTCAAAAGTACATGGTGGGAAGGAACGTTGGACCCACCCCTGAGCTGTGTTCGTGGAACGCTCGGATCCGTTTCCTCGATAGTCTTAGCTTCGCTGTTGAAACAGAGCTATGTCATAGTTTCGGGCGTACATAGCTGCCATGTGATCATTATTCCCTTTCTGGAGCTAGCCACACAATGTAGGGACTTTGTAGTCTTGGGTGTCGACCAGAAACCAAGCTCCACACAAGGTTTTCTAGCACAAGGTTGCCTGTAGCTGCGGAAGATTGATTGCTTGGTGGCGGTCAGACTTGGTAGAATGGAAGATGAGGGTGCTAGAAAAACGTCCATATGGCGTTGTTGTAAAGACAAGATAAACGGCGACAATAGCAGCAGCAGAGCCAACAATGGCAGCGGCACTACCAATGACAACGCGGTCGTAACAATACCACGAACGAGCAAAGCAAGTGTTCTAACCCACACGAGCACCGTGCTTTCTTCTCTTCTCACTTGAGGTTCTTTAGGCCCGACAGTATGCCGAAGACGTGATCGCTGTTGAACAGCTGATTTCGGCTGAGGTTGAGATTTGTGAGGCAGGCCATCTCTGGCCTTTCTCGAATCTCCTCTGGCAGGAAGCCCAGCCTTCCCCCCGAAGCATCCAATGTCTCAAGGCCATACTGTACCACCTGGGTTGGCAGTCCAATTGAATTGTTTGGAACAGCGGTTGCTGCTTTATCGTGAGGCAGTTTATCGGTCAGCTGCTCTCGGCCAAAGGCGAAGCTTGCCTCCCGAAACGGCGCCTTCAGGTTAACAGTTGCTGGCGTAATGTAAGATATATTCGACGATTTTTTGCACCGAAGTAGATTTTGTTCTTGCCAAAGGTAAGATCTGTAGCTGGCGCGCGTGGTCTTGCTTGATGCGACGTTGGAGACTGAAGACATGCACCTGCTTATCGCTATAGACGAGATCATTGATAAATTTACCTCGCGTTTAGCAAACATTTCTCGTCTATTCGCTATTGGTTCGGGCCGGCAATGAGGCTGCTGGGGGCTTTGCAGCAGGCAATGCCAGGTGGCAGGAGGCCGTCGAAAAGGGGATGCTACACAGGATACATAGCACGACGGTGGTTGGAGACGTACTATTTCGCCAACAAGGCACGGGTACGTTCTTTGCACCGCACGACGTACCACGTCAATATTTGGCACATTTATATTGCCGGTGAAAGTCAACGGGGGGGGGGACGTGTGTTCACCCGGCAGGCAAATTTACGTCTTCAAAGTACAAAGGCCAGGTCAGCTCGGATGGTCAGGAGCGCATCAAGTTTATGTCTTGAATGAAAAAATGGTAGTAATACTCATCGCCACCAGTAACCTCACCTTTCTCAACCGACTAAAAACAACGTCCGCCCGCACGTCCAGCACGGCTTCCGACCGTGCGTAGGCGTCGCCAAGACGAGGGCACATGCATCTCAGCCGCTCAGCCTCGATGAACCGCGTCGTCACCACAACTCGCTCGGGGGCCGTCTTCTTCCCCTTTTTTTTCCCTCCCTAGCGATGTTACCAAGCCACCAGTAGAAACACAGGGAGAGTGGTATCAATTGTTCCCAATATTTCTCAACTCTTATATATGGATTGTTATTGCTCCTGTACGAAAGTATATAATTACTTGCTTGAAGTAAATGAACTGATCTTTGTGAGCATCATATTGCGGTTTGAACTTTTCCTCAAACAACCTTGAGTTGTATACCTTGTCTTGGTAGAAGCACATGTGCAACAAATATGTATGTGATTGCTACCAGTATCATTCTAACGTATGTCTACCTTCTTTTTCATCGCCTCGAAAACTGCGCCGCCCTACGGCAAGGTGGCAAGGTGGCAAGGTGGCAGCAGCAGCAAGGCTGAATCTTGGACCCGAGGAGCACAACCTCGTCTGAAGCGTGCTAATCAAGACCATTCCCACCGGCCAGGTCCACACCCACCACCAGATGTTCCGTGCCCCCTCGCTTTGTCCCGTGCGACCTGCACTTGTCTTTCGGTGATCTTGAGCATCTCCGCAAGTACTGATGCTCTGCCCGTGCGGCACCCTGCCGGTGTACGACGAGGCAAGTGAATTAAACGTTCCTCGCCGAGCTGGAGGGGGATATCGCTGCGGCTACCACAAGCGGTGGAGTCGTCAATGCTACCGTTTAGCGTACAGGGATAGGCCACAAACGTTGCTATCATACAGAAGACACGTCAGGCGTACTTGGCACAAGACACTGTACGTGCCCCACATAGACTTGTACAACGTACACGGCAGCAGCGACAGCTACTCGTATGGACCTAATAGTACCGCATGTGCGACGGTTTCGCCAATATTTTCGATTTCGAGCGCACCTCGCTACTCCCACCACCTGAGCAACATATCATCGCACCTGCTTCATCGTGTACCGAGACGTACTCCACAGACCTACATGCAGGAGAACATGCGGTCTTCATTGATCTTTGAAGTTAGACTATTTTCACCTTTGAGGGATGCCACGAACACACAGCTGCATGCATGCGCATTGTAGGAACATGACTGCATGCAGTCTATATATTGGGATATGATTGATAACATCACTCCACTCCACTCGAGACAGTCCGTACAGGGATGTATATCGAACTCCTACAGAAATACAAACTCAAGGTCGCTTGTCGCGAACAAACTCTGGCTCACAGACAGTTATGATCCTGACGGAACTCATGCCAAAGAACGGAGACACCGGCAGACCTCGAAAGGAGCGAAGAAAACCTCCGAAATGGGCCAACCTCGTGTTCAATCACTATCTTATCGCTATGTAATACTTCAATGCTGCGGCTGCTGAAAGAAACATTCGGTTCGTATCCAATGCGACACATATCGTCGTGCTGCGTCGGGGCACGAGCGTCGTGTGAGGGGCCTCCGGAAAAAAAGAGTGACTACCTTACCGCACAATAATGTGTTGTTTCGAGTGTGTAGCGATGAGGAAAACAGTGTTATCGACGTGTATATTTTGTTTGTGGGGTCTTCGTGCGAATGCTTCGCGTCACCGCGTGGCAAGAGCTCTGTGAATTCGGTCGGTCCCTCGGCGCCGCCGCGCCGCGTGCTTGGAAAGGAAATGCGGCGTAATTTTACCAGTGAGCGATCCGCGAACGGGAACATTGTACGAGTAAACCCTCCGCATGTCCCCACGCGGGCATCAATCAGCCTGTGCCCGCCGCCCGCCGCCCTCCCGCTGTTCACCCGTCCGCGCACTTGAGAGGGCCGCTGCTTTATTTAGAGAAGAGTCTTCAGCAGGAGCGATGCTTGCTCAGAGCCCATCAGCGACGCCACCGGTTCCTGATGACGCTGTTGGTGTTGACACCGCGGGTGGCGTGCGCTTCGTCGCCGTTCCTGGCAGCGGTCTCGAAGAGACCTTTCCCCGGCCCGGCGTCAAAACTGTGGGTGGCACAGCATTGCCTGCCTCTGCGAGCCCAAGCACTCTGTCACCTCTTCTGGCCAGCAATTTTGGTGGAGTGGAAGATGGGGGTGTTGCAAGGGCGACGACTGCAGCTGCTTCCACCCAAGCCCCAGAGCTGAAGATGTCTGACTGGGTCAACGCAAGGAGAAGGTGCGGCAGTGCAAGACACTGTATTATATCTTCCCCGTATTTTGACAACTGGTACAGCAGTAACTATCAACCCTTGCCGAATAATGGGTGTTATCCCCGTGTAGTGTGTTGTCTACCCTGGTGCACCACAACGTCCCACAACGTATCCAGAGCAGGTAAGCAACGAGGGATGCTTGCAGAGAGTGGCTTCTCGAGGGAAACAACACAGCTTGAACCATACTTATCGGTGACTCCTTCTCCGAATGCAACACGAGCTGTGTGGTCGTCAAACCCCTGCGCAAAGATGCGTGCTTGCGTAAACAGCAGCAAACAATGACACATGGCGCCTTACCAATGAAACACTGCTGTGAACGTCCACCGTAGGCGTGCGAGGGCGGCGTCGTCCAACACCAACGGGCGCAACCACAGCACCAGTTGCAGCCGCGGCAAGCCTCCAGCTCCCGCCTCGTCTTCCGCTTCCGCGTCATTAACAGCAGTGGCGCTACCACCACCAGCGTGGGAGCATGAAGTATTCCTGAACACGGGAAAAAACGCGGCCGCAGAAGCCGAGGCAGCTCAAACGTGGAGCAAGGAGGATGAGATGGCCCTGCGCGGGAGAATCCGAGACACGATTACGAAGATTGAAGATTTGTCGGGAGGGTTGGAAGGCTCTGGCGGGAAAGAGCGCGAGGGGGATGACGGAAGGGGGGGAGGAGCAGAGGCTCAAGGAAGAGGAAACGGACCGGGACCAATCCCTGCCGGGGCGGGCAGGAAGAAAAGGAACAATCACAGAGGTGGTGCGGTGAACCAAGCGGGGGGGGGCGAGGGCAGCATAAAAAATCTGCACGAGTCTTTGCTCCTCTCGATGGAGCTTGTTGCCACTGGCGAGAAGCACGCCTCTGCGAACACCACAACCATTGCAGACATGTCCGAGTGGCTGTCTCACCTGGAGCGGAAGCAGCTCGTGAGTTCACCAGGCAGTACGGCACTCAAAGCTTTAGTGTGGATCGGTGTTTTCAGCTACAATTTACACTGGTTGGACACAGACACCATACAAGTCTGCAGGAGCGTGCGTGGTAGAAGCATCTGGTCTGGTACAGTGCGCGAAAGGTTATTTCTCGACGGGGCGCTCTGCGTAGCAATACCAGTCGAAACTTGTATTGACCGCGTGTATCGCTTACGTGCCGTCAAGCTTCGTAGTCACTGCTGCCCTCGCCCGTCAACATCCCTCCCCTGGAGATACTCAAAGCTGTAGCTGACACGATTCATGTGCCATATATTGATATTTTCAGCGTACGAAATCGCCGACTCGTGAGCAAACTACACATGATTCTTTCTTTTCGTATCCACTTTTCCAGAGAACACTCAAGTGGGCAGCACTCCCTTCCATTTTTATCGAAATCGAGGGGAATATTTCGTTCCGCTCTTCACACGACAAGGCTGCTGTAGTCGCTGCTGAACGTGTCTTGCTTGTTGACGTGCGTCCGGGTCGGTCGACAGATAAACATCAGCCAGGAAGAGGCGATGGAAGGAACCACCATGGCAGGCGTCATCCTCGACGAAGGCCTAGCGGTTGGAGATTGTATCCGTGATTACAGGTGAGCAATCCCATGCCATCAGTGTGTCTGTTTATTCTCCCCTTGCAACGAAGACAAGCCACATGACGAAACGAGGTGGAACGGGGAGATCCCGTCAGAGTTCAGGTCGTCCGGGCCAATCGGGCTGGTTGAAAGACACCTCACAAACCTGGAGATTTCAGTGAAACAACATCCCGTAACACGCAGTGATCAGACATCGTCAGCGTTCAAGCGACTGGCGTCCATCTTCAAGACCGCTTGCGCCGAGACCGAGCGCGCAACCAAAGAGCTGGTCGCGAGGCTTACCGAAGATCCTACAGGAGACGAGGGGGCGGGGCCAAAGGAAGGCGGGGGAGGTGGGACGGAAGCGGGTGCAGGAAAGGAGGCCGGATCAATTGCAGGGAACGTGCAGTCTGCGGAGTCGGTGATCAAGGCTCAGAAAGTACAGCGCATCAAAATCATGCAGGTCGGATGCCGCGATACTTCGGGCGTGGGTGCCAACTGACCTTGCTGTAGCTTCGATGTGCCTGCGTTGCACGAGGTGTATCGAGTCGCATGCGATTGTCTTGGTCCGCGAGTCCGATTGATACGCTATTGTTCAGTGTCACCGTGGATTCGAGCACGTAGTCGATGAACGCTGTTGTTTGACGGGGCCGTTTCCTGCCGCCATAAAATATCGCTAGGAACGCTAGTATTCTGAAGGGAATTGGTCAAATGCATTCCTCTTGTACTCTACAGTTTATCCGTAGGCGATAGCATCCCGACCTCCGGTCGCTGCGTATTCGTGCCGGAAGGGACGACAGTGTATATTTTCTGCACGCTGAGCGTGGCATCGCGTGGATGGAGACATGTGTTTGAACGCTACGCACATTTTGAACCTTACAAATCAACATTTCAGGAGAAACAACTGCAGGAGGCCGCCAAGACCAACGAAGAAGCCCAAGGGGTGATCAACCAGCTTAAGGTCTCTCTCCGGCAGCTAGAGCACCGCTTCAAACAGGCAAGAACGCATCGAAGAGAGTAGAGAAAGCCTACCCCGAGCATACCACGAGTCCACCCGATACGCTGTCGTTTTCGCTCGTCAGCTCACGTGCTGTCGATCAAAGCTCCCATTCACAGATCAAAGATGGTGCGTCAATAATGTAGATGGGCGACGTAGATAGGTCAGTTGGCGGTACGAGCCTCTTGCCGAAAAGTTGCGGCCCTTTTGAAACCACTTTCGCAAGGACGGCGAGAAAATGAGAGACAGCAGCACGATTGTGCAACGGAAAATGAGTCTGGAAGCAACGCCCGGGGCTTTGTCTGCATCCAGAAATAGCGTTTGCGGCGGGGGGTGTTGATGTCAGCATGATCAGACACGGTATTCACATAGCCCCTAGGAATATCCACATATGGAAGGCTCAGCATGCTACGACGCGTAGACAGTCAGCGCAGGGAGCTTCAAGTTTGTGCTCTTACCACTTTGAGAACCTGCGGCTACGGAAAAACGCGAATGCGATGCCAACATGGTCAGCAATCCAGTGCAACGTGGAATGGGGGAGAACAGAAACATTGATGCTTGCTAGCTCCCACAGCAGAGAGACAAACACCAGATTGCGCCGGGTGTGTGTGCCTGTCTGATGCTCTTTCTCGGCGGGTGCTCGCTTGCAGACTGAATCGATGAACACGATCGTTACGACGAATCTTCGTAAGGACAACATGAAGTGGAACGCCCTCGTGTTGGAGTACGAGATGAAGATTAATTACCTGGAGCGCGCTTTAGCGCAGGAGGAGAGCAAGCTGAGGATCGCAGAGCAGGTGCACCGTCTTCCGGGCCTTGCCACGACTTTCCTTGGAATAGGTCCTCTCGATGAGGGATTTGGACTTGTTCTATACATTTCTCGCTTCTTGTTGACGTGTTCCGCGCAGGGAATATATATTTTCTTTCCTTTAATCAAGCTAGGTGACAAGGGTGTCACGCTCAGGATTGCCCCCTCCACTCATCTCCCCCCCGGTGTTTGCCATCGGGGTTGGGTTTTCGTCGCTTGGCAACGACGGTGTAAAACAAGCCGCCCCCCCCGGTGTTTGCCATCGGGATTGGGTTTTCGTCGCTTGGCAAAGACGTTGTAAAACAAGCCAACTCACTTCGTGAACTCGGCAACCAGGTTACCGGTTTTTTTTTTTACCTCCGTTTTTTTTTTTTTGGCGGTAACCATAATGGTGGTCGAGTAGATCATGTTGTGCGGGGTGGAGAACCCTCACTCCGCGCAAGGGGGATGATCGCACCACGTGGTGTTAAAATGGTCAAGCACCCTCGAGGCAGTTACACAGTGCTTACAAATGTCTCAGGAAGTGAAAGCACCAGAAAATAAATTAATTCATACGCAGCTGTCATCCGTACGCAAGGAAGTAAGCACAAGATGCCGAACACCCTTAGCAGGATGCA